CAAAAGACACGAGCAAATGTTTTTCAAAAGTAGATAGATTAATGTCCAATAAACATGTTAAAAATACTCAGTGTCTCTAATTACCGGGGAAATGTAAATCAAAACCACAATGAGATATCACCTAAGCCCGGAGAAAATGACTTTTATCCCAGTGTCCAAACAACAGATCCTGGCACAGACGCTTAGAGAAAAGGGCACGTATGCTCTGCTGGTGAGACTGCCAACCAGTACAGCCTCCAGGGAAAGCCGTGTGGGGACGCCTCAGAGAACTGAAAGTAGACCTATCATTTGATCCAGGAATCCATTGACTGGATATTTACCCCAAAGGAAAAAACGTTATTGTATAAAAAAGACGCTTGCTTTTGAAGGTTTATAGCAACAAAATTCACAATCACAAAGATGGGTAAACAAGCCAAGTGCCCACCCACATGTGATTAATAAAATGTGGTGTGTGTCCACCACAAAGTACTGCTCAGCCAGGTGTCCTCAAACTACGGCCCACGGGCCACATGAGGCCAGCCTAGGACATTTATCTGGCCTGCTGGGTGTTTTTGCCAGTGCTGCCTGTCCTGCTAGAAGTGGACTTGTCTCGGGGCCCGCAATCCAGCCCCGAGTCTGAGGGACAGTGAACTAGCCCCCTGTTTAAAAAGTTTGAGGACCCCTGGCTCAGCCGTAATAAAATGGAGAACTAATAATGCCTTTTGTAACGACCTGGGTGGGAAGGGAGACCATCCTCCTGAGGGAAGTATCACAAGAATGGAAAAACAAACACCACACGAGCTCACTTTTAAATGAGAAGCTAATGATCACCACACATGGGCACATATGGTGGTAAAATTCAGTGGGAGCAGAGCAGGTGAAAGGGCGGGAGGCGCTGGGTGAATTCACACCTAACAGGTCGATGCTCACTGTCTGGGGATGGATGCGGTGACAACCTCAACTCAAGCTGTACAAAAGTAACGTAATGCTCACTGTCTGGGGATGGATGCGGTGACAACCTCAACTCAAACTGTACAAAAGTTATGCCTGGAGCCAACACGTGTTCACTGCCCCAGCATCCTGAGACAGAGAAGTAAAAGAAAAAATGACATTCATTACTGAACAAAATACATTACAAAAATCCACTGATTTCCTTGTCTGTTACTGTTAATTCTTCTTGTACACCTCTTCTTTTGCTGCAAGCATGCAAGGAATTAGGGAGCCCACAGCTCACACCTGTATGTTGCTGTGTTTCCTGAACATTAGATGTTCCTAACTCAGAACATCTCAGATTGATAAAACGACTTTGACTCAAGTAGACAAATGCTTTGTGCACTAAAAAAATCCAAACAGATAATTAGTATTTCAATTTTTAGTAAAGACATAGATAGTTTAATAGACACCATGCCAGATAGACATGAAGACCCAAGTGTTTACGACTTCGAATGAAATAAATGGGCAAAATGAAAATGAAGGAAAACTTTCTTCTAGCTGTTATTAAGATGTACCACACATTTAATGACATTTTTTAAAGAAAGCCCCTACTATATTTCATATATGAATTTATTAGTGAATGTCGCACCTGCGTGATCTCAAAAATAATGAATTATTGAGGAGTCTTAATATTGTGGAGATAAGAGAATAATTATGTGTCTTCATGGGTCTGTCAGTATAATGGAATATACAATGCAGACTCCATAAGTTTTAGGAATATAGAAGAAAAATAAGGTCAGCTAGGACACCCTTATTCTATGAAATACAAAATCATTTGTACTTCTAAACTATATGGAGAAAATGTGGACTACATCTTATGAGAAAATCCTCAGGATATTTAGCTGATCTATATTTGTAAAAACTTCACAATCTTTATAATATTATATAGAGAATGTAAAAAAATTGCTATAAGTTAAGAGAAAAGGTAATTGTTTGGTATTTTTCTAATGATATAATGATACAGTCTAAGAATGTGAATATATATAAATAAAAATACACAGAGAAGGGTCTAATTTCCAGGCCTTATGACTCATGCCACTTTTACATTTATATATTTTTTTCAGCCCCCTCGCCAGTCACCAATGTGAAAAAGGGGAAGATTGGAAAAAACAGCATCTCTTTGTCTTGGCAAGAACCCGATCGCCCCAATGGAATCATCCTGGAGTATGAGATCAAATATTTTGAAAAGGTAAGACGAGCAGAATAAAGATATCCTTCCCTTCTTCTTGTGGTCCATTTTAGCACCTGCAATTATCCAATTTGTTGAAGAGGATGCTGCAATTTATGTGTGAATCAATGACAATTGATTCTACAGTCGTGACTGTGGAGGCCAGCGTGTGCGGGGAGCTCTCTGTGCTCTGCGGCTGCCATGTGGTTTACCAGCCTGGATAGTGCCCTGA